GGCGTCCGAACTACTTCACTTCGGTGAGGAGCAGGTTGACGTCCGATACCAACAACAACAACCACCACTCGCTACAGCAGCAAGGGCGTCCATGACTGTGCTGACAAGAAGTTTGGTTCGTTTTTTGGCAGAAAGGGACCCCCTGAGTGAAGCTGTCTCTTCATGTACAGCTGATATGCCACGATATGTTTCGCTTCTTGTCCGGCAGGACTGACTCGCACTGACTTTGACTTTTTTGATCCATTCTGCGGCCATTGTGGCCCGAATGCTTTAGATTAAGTGAACAGACGCTCACAGAGTCGGGAGCGTGCACACCAGAGAGGGCTCAAAAAACTCCAGCCTCTGCCTCTTCACATACGAGCTGAAATGTGCTAAAAGCTAGATGCTGCTTGCTTCGTGCATGCTTGTGTTTCCACTGTGATCCAGTTAATGTAATGCAAAGAGAGAACAACCACTTGGCGTCTTGCATTCCATTTCCTCAAGCATCTGCTCAAAACATGACGCGGCCTTGGCGAGGAATGGAAGATGCGCACCTTAAGACCCAAGCAGTTCTTGCTCGATGGATGTATGCACCCAAGTTACCAGATTCAATTACTGTGTTAGTTGTGTATACTCTCTCTATTTGTCTAGATCTTAAATATATATATATAGAGCTACGTATACATATAGATTATAGATATATCGACACGTAGCTAGGCAGATAGAGATATCTAGATATATTCATCATGGACTTATGAATTTTAATAAATGCATATTATATATATTCAAATCTTCATCTGAACATTCCTGCTGGTTCTCAAGACTGTCCATGCTCGAGCTTTCCTATGCAGGTTTGATCGTGCAGGGTTTACGTTCAAACTTGTTTGGGCCTGCCTGTCCCTTCTACTGTTCATCTCCTGGCTTTGGTGCTCTCTTGGCTTGCTTCTTGCTTGGACTGGTGTGCGGTGGTGTGTTTTCAACATGATATGTTTTTGACGGGTGGACAGGGAGGGGCTGGATCAACCAATATACTATATCCTCATGAATCTCAAAGGGTATTCACAATATTGTCATTTTTTGCATTGATATCAGCATATTGACAAAAAGATCTAAATCACAAATCCTCCAAAATGCCAGGGTCTGAAATTTTCATTCTGAAACTGAATTTGGGGTTCAAAATATCAAACCCTAAGGCCAGGGTCTAAAGTACTACCAGCGTGGAAGTTTTAGGTTTTTCAAACATTGACTCTAGTTACGCTAGTTGAAAAAACTTCTAACTCTGACTACGTATATCTCGCATAAGTAGATTTAAACGGTGAAAAATCTAATGTAAGTACGGACTACAGGGGCACATGCAGTAACGATCTGATCAAATTGCACAGACGACTGATGCTGTAGCACAGACCGGTCCCAAAGGTACGCACGGGAGGTGCTTGCGCAGAGTCTTGTGGGCACGTCGCCGATCGGTTCCTGCATTGCGCGCGAGGTTAATTCACCCACTGACTTGATGTTGCCGAGGCAACCTATATATATAATTTCCCGGCCTGGACCTTGAAAAAGTAAGTGCGGCGACAACTAGCAATTAACAACTATAGGTAGCCATTTTACACCAAACAACAACTCACAAAGACAACTCACAACGAACAACGCGCAACTCACAACAACAACAACAACAACAACAACACAAACAGCAACAACAACAACAACAGCAACAACAACAACAACAACAACACAAACAGCAACAACAACAACAGCAACAGCAACAACAACAACAACCACACAAACAGCAACAGCAACAACAACAACAACACAAACAGCAACAACAACAGCAACAGCAGCAACAACAACAACAACAGCAACAGCAACAACAACAACAGCAACAGCAACAACAACAACAACAACACAAACAGCAACAACAGCAGCAACAACAACAACAGCAACAGCAACAACAACAACAACACAAACAACAACAGCAACAGCAACAACAACAACAAACAGAAACAACAACAACAACAGCAACAGCAACAACAACAACAACACAAACAGCAACAACAACAACACCAGCAACAGCAACAGCAACAACAACAACACAAACAGCAGCAACAACAGCATTAACAACAGCAACAGCAACAGCAACAACAACAACAACACAAACAGCAGCAACAACAACAACAGCAGCAACAGCAACAACAACAACAACAGCAACAGCAACAGCAACAACAACAACAACAACACAAACAGCAACAACAGCAGCAACAATGTCACAACTCAAGGTCCTTTCTTGCACTTGCACACAAGCACACAAACCGACACTTGACACTACGGTACACACACGGTTTGATGTTGTGATATGCGATTTTCTCTTGCACTAGCACGCACAGCTCATGTTACATTATGAAATCATGTCTTCCACTTGCACGCAAAGGTGCTGCTGCATCAATTTTTCTTTTCTTGCACATAAACACACTTGATGTTTCGATGTAAGCCCTTCTGTTGCACTTACACGCACATGATGCCACGTTCTGAAATTTTCTTTTGTACTTGCACACACTTGCTCAGAAAAATCTTATCGAATTACTGATGTGGAATGCATCTTACGTGCAAAAACATTTCAGCTAAACCTGACAGGAGTCATTGGATGATCAGGAGTGAAAATCTGTGCGAGGAAATCTTTCTATGTCCTTGCTAGATGAATCAAATCGTTCTGATGCAGCTCGTTCATCCTCTATTGACAGAGGAAATTCAGATTGCGAAAACCGTACAGGCGGTGAACATCAAAAAAGGTCCTCAAGTTGAAGTTTGGTTTGAAATTGCTGGAAAACGACATGCCGGTTCTTGGCTTAGCCGGTTGCCATTGACGAGAAATGAGAAATGCAAAACAGTAGCACGTACGCAGATTGGCGTCCCAATCTGTATCACCAGATCCAATGGGCGTCTTCGTTGGTAGCGGTCCCAAATGATCTGCCGCTACCCCCTGCATAGCATGAAGCTTCTAAATGCATTGAAACATCAAATCCTGGCACTCACGAAAGTTCCTAATGGGAAGATACACTCCACTAGTGTCCAAAAATGACCAAAATTCTTCAGCGTAGAAGTTTTACATCTATTCAGATGTTCCACACACACGCCCCGCTGCCGCGAGGCATTTAAGGCCCCGACGTATGAGATGAAGGTGAAAATGAGAGAATGAAATGGAAATGAAATGACGATGAAGATGAGATGACAATTACGTAACCGGAACACAAGAGGGGGAACGCAAAAAGGAAAGGGAAAGGAGAAAACACCAACACCAACACACCTAGCCCGAGACGGGCAGACCCTGAAAGGGCAAGGGAAAAGAAAAAGCGGACAGACGACGGGCCAAAAACCAACCAGAGGAGGAGAGGGCGGACAGAAGCGCCTGACACAACCTACAAGGCGAGAGCCCAAACCTACCTCGGCACGCGAAGGACCCAAACCTGACCTAGAAAGGGAGCACGCATGAGATAGGGGACCAATGGGGAGCCAGTTGATTAAACATGATGCATCCACATTGTCGTGCAGAATTCCCCTTGTTGCAGGCTCAAAGGCCTAGATGTCACGTCAACCCCATGGACAGCTTACGTCGTCAACCCCTGAATTATGTGCACAATTGAACCTCACCAGAGTAACCAAAAGGAAGTGACCACACCTGCAAAACATGTCCTGTTGCCTGGAGTTTCATGTAAAAAGGCTGCGGCCAGCCTCTTGAGATAACAGAAGGATTGTTGTCGCGGCTTCAAACTATGCAGCAAACAGGCACTCTGAGAAAAGGTGAGGCCAATCACAGCGGCCAACTGTTTCAACGCTCACTTGACCGATGGGTGAAAATTGAAGTAAGGCCAGCTGTTGCACTTTACTTAGACGAATTACCAATTCAAAAGTGTCAATTCAGAGATCGTTTCAACGTGTCAGTTTTAGCCTGGAGAGGCTTTCCCCGAGGGGTTCATGCCACCTTGACGAATCCAGCATGAATCACACACTTGCTCAGAAAAATCTTATCGGATTACTGATGTGGAATGCATCTTACGTGCAAAAACATTTCAGCTAAACCTGACAGGAGTCATTGGATGATCAGGAGTGAAAATCTGTGCGAGGAAATCTTTCTATGTCCTTGCTAGATTCGCTAGATGAATCAAATCGTTCTGATGCAGCTCGTTCATCCTCTATTGACAGAGGAAATTCAGATTGCGAAAACCGTACAGGCGGTGAACATCAAAAAAGGTCCTCAAGTTGAAGTTTGGTTTGAAATTGCTGGAAAACGACATGCCGGTTCTTGGCTTAGCCGGTTGCCATTGACGAGAAATGAGAAATGCAAAACAGTAGCAGGTACGCAGATTGGCGTCCCATGGGAAGATACACTCCACTAGTGTCCAAAAATGACCAAAATTCTTCAGCGTAGAAGTTTTACATCTATTCAGATGTTCCACACACACACACACATGCGCACACACGCACGCACTTGATGATAGGATGTATCTTCTCTCGCACTTAGGCACACGTACGCGTCCTTGGTTTCCTGGCATCTTAGGTTCCAAATCATCCTTGGTTTCCGAATCATCCAGCATCCGTCCGTAACAGGAACAAGATGGAACAAGGAAGTTCAATCAAATGGTTGCAAAGTGGCTCAAGGGAAGCGCGCTCAGCTGGGTCACTTTGTATTTCGCAAGCAGGGTACTAGGAGCCCAATGTTGGCCCTGGTTTGCCAGGATGTCAGGCAGAGGGTTGTGGAATGATTATGGTGCATGCAAGCCAAATTATCATGATACGTTGTTGTTAGCGTGTCAGCAACATCGAATGGTAGTTTATTTCAGTTCAAAAAATTACACCCACACGGTCGCGCCACATATTCTCTCAATACACATCTCTCCTTGCCCTTCCCTTTGGCCTCAAGTTTGGATTTAGCACGGGGTACTGACATACCCGGCGGTACAAAGCCTTTTGGCCCTTTGATATGTAACAAATGGTTTCAGAGAATATCAAAAGCCCACCGGAAATCAGAGGCCACAATCGAGTCTTTCCTGATGGACGTGAAGGAGCGAGGCGATACCAGATTTGTGCCATGTGGGCACGATTTGGGCACCATTTCCAACGCAATGAATTGGAATGAAAGAAACAAACATACAGACTATACAGTAAACATTTTTTGATCTAGTTGAGTTGGCCCTATAAGAAACATTGAGGAACCAAACTTCGAACAAGCATCACTCGTGTATCTTCATGTCAGCGGCATGGCCAGCATGCTGGACAAGTTTGCTTTAAATTAGTTTGTGTTTACTGATGTCGACTGATGTCGAATTGTGTTCCCCAAGGCGAGCTTCTGGTGGGTTTTAAGAGCGATTTCAAGGAGATTGTGTTTTCCGAGGAGGCGAGCTGAATCAAGCTGAGCCGAAGAATTCTGAGTGAGTGACATTCAGTGACTCTGCCAGACTCTGACAGACTCTGATGAATGTAGTTGCCGAATGTTGCCGACACGGCTCGGTGGACTTATGTTTGACTTGTGCTGGGGCAGTAAAGCGATAAACTTGTACACCAATCGTGAGCTTTTCGTTCTGACATGTTTTGACAACCAACTTGTATACCACATGAACCATATGTATATCAGATAATATACATTTACATCATGTTTTGACATGTTGATGCTATGTGGTGCATGTTGAACACAGTTTCACCGACATTACTCATATGTTTAGAGTTTAGACTCACAACACATGCCAATCATACGTCAATCACGCCTCAAGAACATGGCAACAAGAGGTATAGACCATGTATACAACCATGTGTGTAGCATATAGAACACTACGAATGTTTTCTGTTGCATTTTTGCCGGAAATGACCTTAATATGCCTCCTGTCATGTGAAAACATGATTGAAGGCGAATGAAAATGCGCGTGTTTGTGTGTGTGGAGCGTCTGTAAAGACGTAAAACTTCTGAGTCATTACTGATTATTACAACTTCTGTTTTTATGCAATCATTTCACTAAGCAGGGGGGTGCAGAGCACAGTGGAAACTGCACCCAACGAAGCTATCCACTTGTGCTGGAAGCAGAGTCTGATCAACTCTGTGTACCTGCTATTCAACTTTCAATTTATTTTCGCGTATGGCACGGGGCTAAGCCGAGAACCCCAACCTGAATCTATTTATTGTTTTCCTTCGTCTTGGCCAAGGGCCAAGCCGAGAACCCTATTGCGACTATCTATTTATTTCGGCTTTTGGATCAGTTTCCCAAGATTGTCTCGATGCTGCACGGTTTCCACAATCTGTTCACTGGGATATTTCATCAAGATTCTGGTCGTGGTCTTATTTATCGATGGTATCTAATTTGGAGTCTACTTGAACCAGTCTCTGGTCGTGATGGACTATATCGAAATTCCTTCATATTGCTCGTAATTATACAACTTCAAGGAGATCTACTTTAGGTCCTTTGTTCTGGTTTAATCCCATGTTATGGGATTCAGTTCCCAACGGATCACTACAATGATCCAGTTCTTTTCTAGTGCGTGTGTGTGTGTGTGAACCATCTGAAGAGATGTAAAACTTCTATTCTGGTGGACACTCAATTTTCTTTTCCAATCTTCTGCCCTTGTCATCATTATATTTTAATTTTGCAGGGGGTGCCGGGGGCACTGATGAGACCGGCACTAACAAAGACACTCATCAGTTGCCTGCGATATCGATGGGGACGCTCATCGACGTATCTGCGCATTATTTCAATTTCGTCTTGGGCAGTGGCTAACCCAAGAACCACCTTGTCGCTTTTTGTGGTCATGCACGTTTGCCGCAATCTGGGATTTATTTCAACAATCTTTTCAAAACAATTTGACTTCAAGTGCGCTGGCTATGGCGACGGTAGCTTCTTGATACTTTTTTGGGTCTCCTCACTGACCCATTCCTGTCAGGTGTAATGGAAGTGTTTTTTGCACATAAGATGCACGCCACAACAAAATTGGCAATGACAAGTCTGAGCAACTGTGCGAGAAAATCCAGGTTCTGCGCTCAACAGATGTTTGACACATGTCAACTGTTCTTTTGACTGTTCTGTGATTGTTCTTGTTGGAGCAAACCTATGGGAACACACAATGCACAGGCGCAACCAGTTGAAATATGCCCGTGTGTTGGATTGCGTTGGATTGAGTGGGATTGGTTCTGCTCCCTCGATTTTTGGTTTTTTCCTTGCTTTTACATTTTCTTCTTTTCGTCTCACATGTACAAAACGAACACTGTTGGGCTCGCATTTTGCGATTTCGGATGCTTTCCGTTTCGTCTTTCTGCGGATGCTTGGGCCCCCCCAAAGGAAACCTACCATCAACTACCCATTGCTGGAAGATTTCCCGGTTTCCAAAACAAATCAAAACAAATCAAAATATGGCTATTAGTAATAGTAGCATTTTCGTAACATCTCCGGGTATCTGATCAGAAATAATTTCCATAGCAATTTGAGATGTTAATCCAAAATGAAGGGGTGACGTGCACATGGCTAACCCAGACCTGCTGATTCTTGAGAGAATTTGTAGCTGGTGGCCTGGGCAGTGTTTTCTTAAGACGCCATCAGACCCCCATGCTATGCATCCTATGCATCCGCCATGTTGACTGTTGATGGTTTCTGCCTGTTTCTGCATGTTTTTGTTCGTGTTTTTGTGCCTCGGTCCGTTTTTCGAGGAGGACGTGCTGCTGGTGGCCGAGGAGCTTCCGCTGCATCCGAACGCCTTGATCTGCCGAGCGCTGTCGAACGACTTCACCTGCCACATGACATTCGTGACATTCGTGACTTTTGGTCGAAAAAAAGACGATTACGATTTGATTTCGATGTTTAGAACTCTATGAATGCTTTTGACATAGAAACTGTAATGTAAACTGCATCCAGGCAAATTGACAGGACTTTTGCACCAACTCCCCACACAAAATTGCAATTCGAATGCTAATTGATTCTTTTCAAATTGTTTGACATTGACATGACCTGCAAAAATGACGGGAGTCTACCACTTGAGTGTGTTCAAATTAGTTTCACAAGTTCACGTCTTTCTTGTGTGTTTTTAAGAGACTCGACTTCAGGTTTTCTCGCGCTTTCTTCAAACTTTTGAGGGCAAATATCAGAAACACATTTGTACATTTGAATCATTTGGACAGTTCCAATCGTGTTCAAAACATGTTCAGCAGCAGATCATCGACGCCCATCATGCTGAATCAGATCGAATCTGCGCCATGGGATCAGATAGGATAATTTGGGATCATGTCAAGTCCTTTGTGATGGTTGACGCGATGAAGTTCATTTTCTTAGATGTTCAGGATTTTACACGATCGATGTTCTATGAATGGGCGCGCAGATACAGTGGCGGCATGGGATTGGAAAATTTGAAAAGTCGAGTGGAGTGGAATAACTCAGACCAGTGCGTAATTATTGTGTTCGGAGATTTTGAAAATGGTTCAGCCTCGACTTGAGGACTCAGGTCCTGCAAAGCTGAGGTTTGTTGGAAGTTCGCTACTATTCCACTGGGGGAGGTTTCATCCTCTCTGAGGAAGAGATGCTTGCATCTGGACTGCTGCCACGCCGGTCTCAGCAAAGATTCATGGATTCAAAACTGAAGACGTTTCTTCCATCGCCAGCATCTTGGGAAGAGTTTCTTCAAAATTCTTAAAGTTTCCAAATGTCGAGGATCCATGTGGGCTGATAGGGCTTTGTGATCTTTGTGAGGACACAGTGCAAGCGCAGGCCGTCCCTTCCCTATACCTTTTCGGAGCATGGCCGAGCTGCTCTCTATCTGTGACGTCACGCGGCACAACCACTTGAGAGGGTTGATTTTCAGACATTTCGCTAGGTGAACACAAACACATGCTGATACATACCGATACTGCATGAAGATTTACCGTATACGACAGATGGCGAAACGGGTCGTTCTTTTGTCGGGGTCCTTGTATGATGCAATTGTCGCTGATCACGGGTCGACCATCCAGGAAAAACAAGTGGACATTGCAACGGTGGTCCGTGCAAATGAGGAGGCTGGGCGATGTTGGACAAAACATTGCCAAAGCATGGCGAAGATTATGCAGACATGAGTAGTATCATTGAGCATCGATAAATCATGATAACTTCAACAGACTTGGAGCAAATTGTAGAATTCCTCTCATGAGAGAGTTGAAGGGACTTGCGGCATGCCATGGCATGCGATACGGATAGTTATAGACTTATAGATAGATTTGAATAAAGTTTTCTCTATGTAGATTCGAGGTTTCAAATAGGTCATGGAATCGGATGAATGATTCGTGGAAATTAAAGAGGTGATGTTGAAACATGTTGAAGCCGTGATGAGGAAGATATACGAAGATAGTTAAATATATATATATACATAGATTGAAATTGGTGAAACGGCAAACGAGAATAACGAGGCTGAACGAAATCGCTGCACTTTTCGTGAGGGAAGAGACTGGAAGAGTCACTTGTACTGTTCATAATCCGTTCCAAACTGTTTCAAGTTTTAACTTGCAAAATGCATTGTATTGGAAGTACTGGGGGCACAACGTTTTTATGGTTTTTTTCAATGTTGTTGTAAATTATCAACAACTCGTTTGTTGTTGTTGCACAGTAGCATACCATGTATATACACATTCTCACCTCTATGACTGTGCACGCGTGGCTCAAGAAATAGTGCGGCTAGCGCAGGGTTGTAATTGTGGTTTATCCCGGTTGTTTACCCGTTTCTACAGGTTATCAGCCGTATAGCCAAAGGCTGTTGGTTGGTATACCTTTCGTTTCACTTCTCGCTATCTTCTTTCGCACTTGCTATGGCTACTCCCCAGCGTTACCTGCCCCGGGCGGGAACGCCTCGGCTGCTCTCGCTATAGCAGGTCCAACTCGCCCTGAAGAGATGGTAATCCATTCTGGCGCAGCAACAATTGAAGGTGATATGAGTTACTCGGAAGAGGACTTTGACCCAGTGACCAGGAATGATCCTTACAGGAATGACCCACGCTGTATGTCGCCAGGTGTCTTGGATCCCGGCGTAGAGTTCAGCCAGCTGACGATCATCTTCAACCAGGTTGACCAACGCACCGCCCAAGTGGCAGTGGTGCAGCAGGGTATGGATCCTACACTGGCCGGCCAAATGATGGTTGCTCAACAGCAAGCCTTGCAGTCTGAAGCCAATGCACTTCATACTGAGGTCATGGAACGTCAAAGGGAGTCGCTTGTGAGTGAGGCTCGAGATCATCTCACATGCATTGAACAGACAGCAGCCGAAGAAATTTCTCAGAAGAACCTTTTGTTGAATGAACAAGCTGCTTAGGCGATGAGTGAGCAGAAATCTGCTCAACTGTATGTTCAGGCAAAAGATCATCGCATCAAGGAATTGACTGCCGAGCTCGGTCAACTAAGGACTGCTGCCGGGTTAATGAACTCTACAGTGGGCAAATCCAATGCGGATCTGAACATTGCACGTTCGGAACTTGCCGAGTATCGGAACCAACTTGATGCGGTGAACCAACAATCCCTGGACATGCACAAGGCGGCAGAGGCCCAACGTAAAGACTACCAGAGGGAAATTGAGAAGCTTCGGCAAGAACAGAAGGACCTTATCCGAAGTTTGAAATCTCAACCTCTGGAGGGAACTCCTGGACTTCAGATTCATTTTTTGGCCCAGGACGAGAAGCTCCGCAGCCTTCTCAACTTCAAGGTCCTATCATCGTAGACCTGGAGGCGAAGCAAAAGAAGCCCGATCAGAGACGATGAACATTTCATGAAAGGACCCGTCATGCCGCCTGGACTGCCTGGCGGTGGACCTCCTGATGATGACGACGAGGATGATGATAGCTGGCAAGGCCGAAATGAGAAGAAAGACAAGAAGAAGAACAGAAAACCGAGTCGAGGGCGATCCAGGCGCCGACGTCGTCGGGATCCGTCCTCATCTCCTTCCTCTTCATCGCCTACCACATCAAGTTCGGATTCTGAGAGTTCCTTTGCGCGCAAGGTTAGGAAAGCTTTAGAACATTCTAGGTCATCCGAAACTAAGGCCAAAGAGTCTGATCGGGTGCTAGTTCCTAAGTTTCCCCAGCCTGAGAACTGTAGGAACTGGAGGATTAGGGTAAGGGATGCCGTGATAGCTTCTTCTTCTAAGCTTGATCTTGCATTTCAGTGGATCGAGGAAGTCTATAGGACCGATCAACCCATTGAAGCCTTGAAGGACTCAGGTAAATTCGTGACTCTGGACGCAAAGCTCATGTCTTCGCTCACAAACATCTGCGAAGGGGACTTTGCACGGCAACTTGACATCCTTAAGGAAGAGCAAGCCAAGTCCGGAACTCCAGCCAGAGGACGTCAGGCACTTCTCATGATTCACAAACATTTTAGCACAAGTAGGAAACATGGGGCAGTGTATGACATTGAAGATCTAATGACCGTTACCTTAGTCAACGACGATCTACGGGGTTTCATCACTCGATGGGACGCTGTGATCGCCGGCATGACCTCCGAGCCTGACACCATTTGGAAGCAAGCATACTTTCACAATGCTATCAAGAACTTTAAGCCTCTCTCTCATGACCTGGCTGTGTATGATCGCACACCGGAGGGGGAACCCAACCGCTCTTATGAGTTTCTCATGAAAGCCGCAAGGGACTACCTCGAGAGGAAGCGCTTGGAGAAGATGCGTCAGGCAACTAAGAAGTCTTTGTCAGGAAAGCGAGAAGCCGCGCCAGCACCCAACAGACCTCCGTCTGCTGGGAAACCCCAAGGCATTTGCTATGACTTCCAAGCAGGTAAGTGCACTAGGGGCAAGGATTGCCGATACAAACATGAGAAGTCAGACAAAGGCAAAGGTGGACGTGAGAAAGGTAAATCTAGATCCAAGTCAAGAGGCACAAGTCGTTCTTTGTCTCCGGGGTCTAGGAACCAAGTTTGTAAGTTTTGGAAGGCGGGGAAAGGACACCGTGGTAGTGATTGTGCTTTCCAGCATCCGCCGAAGCCTGCAGCTCCGTCTACAAAAGACGACAAGCGTGGGAAGAGCAAGAACAAGAGGAAGAAGAAGAAGAAGGGTGACCGTTCCAGGTCATCGAGTCGAGGTTCCAACTCCTCGAAGGGCTCTCAGAGTCTCAAGGACAAAGGGGGAAAACCATCTTCCTCAGGTTCAGCTGCAGTTTGCCTGCTGCGCGCTCTGATGATGGTCGCAGTGATCAACCCTTCGACGAAGGCTTCGCCTCCACTCCGTTTCACAACCAGCGTTTTGCAATGCCAGTTACACCCAACCGCACCGTTTCATTTGGGAACAACATTGAAATCTTTGAAGTTCCCATTGGGCATGATTGTAATTTGAATCCATGCCAGGCCAAGCAGAGAACTCACAATCCGATTTGCATCACGAAAGGCGATCGTTCTCGCAAAGAAACCATCGAAGCTCGTGAAAGTGATGCCATACTTGCTGCACAGATGTTGCGGGCAGCTGTCTTTAGGGAGTTGCATGGGAAACCTTGCAAATGCAACTTCAAGTGTGACAGTGATATCGGCTGTCGCCACTGCATCCCTTCCGACCTAAAAGCATTGCCCGGCCATATGCAGTCGCAGCAGCGATATGCATCCGCTGAGATCATGGATTGCCAACACTGGTAGTGCTCAGGACTTAGTTTGCAGCAAGATGATTCCTGAAGACTTAGTGTATCACTCTCATGAACCCCTTGAATTAATAACTGCCAATGGTTCTCAATCAGCTGATCAACAAGCTTCTGTTCACATTGATTGCATCGACAAAGAAGTTCGACCATATGTTCTTCCCGATACCTCTGCTGTAATTTCTGTTGGGATGAGATGCATTTAAGATGGATGGGATTTTGTTTGGAAAAGCTTTAGCCGACCTTGCTTCAAGAAACGTGATGGAACTAAAATCAAACTTGAAGTGAAAGACTATGTTCCCTATCTACCATCCAGAGATGGACAAGTGCCCGCTGCAGTGGGGATTCCTTTCTCATGGGATTCCGCTGCCGGGAACGGCAAGCCCATCATTTCACCAGTTCGTAGATCTCGCATGTCCGTTGTAGGCACGGAATCGGAAGACGAAGTCGAGGAGGTGGAACAACCCTACGAGGCATCCATCGCCGATGACGCCGAGGCTCCTAAGGAGAGGACAACAACGGGACAAAGGCTTTTGAAAAACTCATATTTAAGAGTATTTCAGTTTCGTCCCCTTGTCCTCCTCCCGCCAGGAGGTTCAAGGACAACCCCGAAGCTCCTAAGGAGAGGACATTCCCACCCGTTGATTCGAGGTCCGTTGATTTTTTTTGATGCTCCTAAGGAGAGGACAAAACACATATTAAGTAGCCAAGCCTGTCTTCAAATCAAAGCTTCCATTGAATCTCCCAATATTTGTGGGTAATCGTCTCTTAGATTCAACCCACTGGTAGATTCCATGTAGCGACCAGAAGCCCAAAGTCTTTACCCTGACGCTTCAACCCACCCCAGCCAATTCCTATTTTTGCTAAAAGTCCATCACGACCTGCTATGTACAAAAACGGATTAAGTATGTAACCCAGCTTCAAAGCGAGAAGTCGGAACAGCGTCAAAACAAGCCAAAGCAGCTTTGACAGCCGGAAGCAGCTTGCCTGATGCTGCAAGGGCTTGGCTGAAACGGCTACCGCTAAGGCCGCAGCAGCTTCACTTGAGGTCAAAATTTGAAAACACTTCGCAAGCAGGAGCCGAGTCTGACGCAGGGCCGAAACAGCCCTCCTCGCTGCGTGGACATGCTGAGCCGAAGCAGCCGAACAGCCACCGCCCTCCTGAAGCCAATGTCTGACTGCTTCAGTGCCCGCCTTTGTCCTTTTGATGCTTGTGGACATTTTTGCATGTGAATGGGCTTTGTGATTTTATTGTTTGCTCAGACGCTTGTCAATCCGCTTTGGCTAGAACGGTGCAGTCAACACCCCATGGCGTGCGCAACCAAGTTCCCAGCTCTGTGTGATGACATGAAATACGGAACTGTGAGCTCCATTTCAAGCCCAAGACAAGCCACTTGGATCGA